TACATTTTTGCTGATAGGCAGTTTTGTCCGTATGCATAATGTTTTTTTTTTTTTTTTCAGATTTAGATTTTAAATTTAAATGTACCTCGTGACTTCACCGTGGTTTTGGGCATACGAGATTACATGTTCTTTTCCTTGTTCGAAAAGAGGACTGTTTTTAACTGCATAACGGAAAAGAATCTTGAAACTGTTCACATCCTTGTTGCAAAACTTTCTTTAAGCTCGAAAATATACATAAACAGTTAACTATTTGTGTACAATAATGATTAGCTAGCGACAAATACACTAACGGCTTCCACTTGTCATGAACATAACTGCTGTTCAATTCAACACTTTAAATCACCGGGTGTTTATCGCTTGTTATGCGGTTCTGGTTGGGTTGAACGTCACAAGAAAAACACTATGCAACAATAGTATTTCTGAAACTAAAACTTCGCACCCTACATGGGACGCAATAAAAAAAAAAATACTTAAAAACCCGCACTTGTAATTTGAGAACCCGATTTAACCTACTGATCGAACGGGATTCCTCATCGGAGTGGTGGCACCTTGTATCACCTGGTGTTAGTCAGTGGTTGTACGGTCCTGGTGGGGTTTAACGTCACTCACTCATTTCTTACTTTATTTCACGTTTACATTGCATCGCTTTTTTCCCCCTACAGACCAAAAATGACGCTTCTGTTCTTTGCCACCATTGCGCTTTTTGCAAGCACTGGTAGGTCTGTTATATAGTATCTGAACAAATAACGATGATAAAATGTCATAGTTACAATTTAACTAGTAAAACATTGTATAAACTGCATAATGTGAAAATGTCAGATACTGCACTAGTTTCAATTCGGCATTTCTAGAAGTATAAGACACACTTGTTCTTCAAAATATAGGGTCTAAAAAATGTGGCCCCTAGAACTCATTTGGGAACGCTGGTTCAGGGACCATATTGGTGTTTGATCAGCTAAGATCACACATAACGAAAAAAAAAAAATAATGAAGATTGCTGCAAAGAAGAAAATAACTTGCTTTCTTACATCGAGGATTGACACATCGGCTTTGATTTCTTTATATCAGATTAAAAAAACCTTTTATTTGCCATGGGAGACGAATGAAACAAATGATGAAGTCTTCTCAGTTCATGTCGAGAAAGACCCTGGCCGAAACGTAGATTTTCTTTTTTTGTTGTGCGCGTTGCTCTGCTTCCCTATTTCGTTAAACGTTTTAGTCCCAGTTCACTGGATTAATTTCTGTGGACATTTTAACACAGCAGGTAGTGTGGAGAAACTAACTACCGGAGAAGTTTATACCTGGGTGAAACGTTCATGGAATAATCTATGTGTCTGTCTGTCTGTCTGCCTGTCTCTCTGTCTGTCTGTCTGTCTGTCTGTCTGGCTGCCTGCCTGCCTGCCTGCCTGCCTGTCTGTCTGTCTGTCTGTCTGTCTGTCTGTCTGTCTGTCTGTCTGTCTGTCTGTCTGTCTGTCTGTCTGTCTGTCTGTCTGTCTGTCTGTCTGTCTGTCTGTCTGTCTGTCTGTCTGTCTGTCTGTCTGTCTGTCTGTCTGTCTGTCTGTCTGTCTGTCTGTCTGTCTGTCTGTCTGTCTGTCTGTCTGTCTGTCTGTTGATATTGGTTTGCTAGCACAGGCACCGCTTTTTTTCCATGCGGATGGACTAATGTCATCCCCACAACCCAACTCTGGTTACGCCCTATAGGCCAACCCCTCCCTCCCTCCTTAGACACTCAGTGTACGCTTTTGGCGTCTAACCCGCCCCTTTTTTCGCTCCCCACCCTCGCGTTGGGGATATATAGGCTAGTGGCTGACCGTCATTTTATTGTACGAAGTGTTTTCGCTAGGAACACAGATGAGTATCATTTATTTTATACATTAGAGTCCTAAGTAGTCACTTCATAGTTAGAACATATTTGTGTATGTGTACTGTGTTGTCCTTTATGTGCTGATGAAGGCTAATCGCCGCAACGTTCTTTGTTTATTGTTATCGATTTTGTAAAGCTAACATAAACTATTTGTTGTTTCTTACCAATTTGTTCTCCTCCCTATTATTTTGAACTCCTTTTAAAAACCATGGAATAATGTGAAGACTGTGATCTTTGTCAAGTCACTTCAGAAATATAGCATTTTAAAGGATACAGATAGAAATAAAGATGGAGCAAAACACAAATAGAGTTTTGAGAGTGATGCGTTTTCTTGATCCTATGATGCATAAAACCTGAGTTCAGTAAGTTTTACTCTTTCACTGGGGCCCCGGTTCACTACAGTTCACTAACCGTATTTTTTTCTAGTGTTATAAATTCTCAAATGAAGGTACGTTTTATACATAGGATCGTCTTATACTGAGGAAATACGGTGAGAGTTTTATATATATATATATATATATATATATATATATATATATATATATATATATATATATATATATATATATATATATATATAAATATTGCATGAATTATAATAGGAAGTATAATACAAGAATTACTCATCTTAGGGGCATATTGGGCACATGTGGTTAGACACATATTTTTATAGGCGGATTGGTGCTTGATGGGTTTTGTGGTCACCGCCACATTTACCTCCCATGCCATTTTCTCATTCCTTTTTAAGACTTAGCTGACATTTTTTTTTTTTTAATTTAACAAAGATGCTTCAATGTTATTGGTAGAATCATGGGCGACTGCAGTCAGGCTACTCTCATGAAATGAAGCCACTGAACTGAGACTAAGAAAGAAACTTAACGAAACTGGGAAGGGAAACAACGCTCACAGATAAAGAAGGACATCTCGGCGGCAGCCTGTATTGGGGGAAAAACACAGTAACAATAGAGCGCCTACAAAAAGATGTATTCTCACAGTTATCTTTTTTGTGAAGACTGTTCTACACTCACGGCTTCTTCGGCTACACAGGTTGTGCTCTGATTTAACTTACTTTGTGCCAGCGAAAACAATCTATTAATATTCATTGATGTCCCTCATGCAAAAATAAAAATTGAAATAGAAAGGTCTCAGTAAAGCTAATAATTCCCCCCCCCTCCCCACCCCCGGCCCGCAGCCTCCAGGAGTGCCAACACAAGCAGCTGGGCACTAGAAATTCAGCTCATTGTCAATGGAAGCAGTAGTAACACCAGATGAGTAAGTTTCAACGAAATTAATAGAAAAGGTATAAGGCACTGCCAGTTCTCTGACAACAAGGCACTCACCATTTTATGAATCTGCAGTTCACAACGCACTTTAGGCACAGTGAAGAGGCATTACTAATTAAATGTAAAATTCGCAGTGTCGCGTTATGCACTTAACTCAGTAGATGGGCGACCGAACTATATACTCTTAGTCCACACATATAGGCAAATGCGACTGGTAACTATTTTTAGAAGCAAAACATTACCGCGACTAAAAACAGTAATCGTGCCTATCCACATCATTGACTGGAAGTAGCAGAAATTATTCCATAGAACAATATGGCAAAACGTCTCCTTGAATCTCTTGCTGTCACTGTCAAAATCTTTCAGAAGTGTAATTTTTCTGTTTCTAAACCAAAGAGTCCATAGTGAAAACAGTAAGCCCGCCTAGCCACAGTATTGATTGGAAGCATCAGAAGTTATTCGATAGAATGATATCACAAAACGTCTTGTTGAATCTCTTGCGGTCGCTTTCAAAATCTATAAGAAATATTCTTACCCCCCCCCCCCCCTTTTCCCCCATTAACCAAAGATTTTATACATCAGTGAAACCGAAATAACAAATGTTAGCTGCACACCGATTTCGATATAGGTAGCCACACATAACGGACATCTGTCTGACACACACACTCCATACACACACACGCGGGCGCACATAAATATACATCCACAACACACACACACACATATATATATATATATATATATATATATATATATATATATATATATATATATATATATATATATTAGGGCTGTACTGAATATTCGCTTCGTATTCGCTTTGGGGCCGAATAGTGGACCGAATAACTATTCAAAAACCGTTTCTGGACTGGTGGAAAAAAACATCAAGACTTCCCACCTTGGTTTATACTGTGAAGCGTTATCTTTGTGGACCACCTACGAGCGTACCAAGTGCCCCTTTATTTCCATCTTGCATGTGTTGCGAGTATAGTGTTTTTAGGTGTGTTGCTGTAGAAACAAAATGCAACCCTTAAAAATGTAAGAGGGGCAGAAAAGCAAGTGTTCTAGTGTTGTAGGCTTGATTTCTTTGAGTGGAGTGTCCTCTTCGTTGATTCTTTGAAGTAACCGGAGTTCGTCATCATTTATGGGTGTCGTATCTGTTCTTTTGTCGTCTCATGGACACGGCAGCGGCTGAATGTTTTGATCGACGGTCGGTTTCTTGATTGTCTTTGTTGTTTGATCTTCTGGCGTTGGCCGCCCGGCGTCTGGTTTCGTGAGCTCGCCGGGGGCTGGGCGACTTGTAAGGACGGCATTGTTTTCTTCGTCGGCGTTATTTTTGTTTTTGATGTTTCACCTTGCGGGTTTTCATTTTGACTCTCTGTATTTGTCGTATTTTCCAGTTTAGTACAGCTGGAAATACCTTCAGTGAGACAAAAAGCTGGCCTAATGCTGACAACATGGAACGAAGGTTTTTCATGGAAGTGTGTCAGCACACGAACTAATACGTGCTGCAGGAGATCGCAGATTGTGGCGAGGCATAATCGCCCATGCCAGCCGGCAAAGCACATGATGATGATGATTCACTATTCGTATTCGTATTCGGCCGAATAGTTGGTCCAGCTATTCGTATTCGGCCGAACAGTGAAAATCACTATTCAGTACAGCCCTATATATATATATATATATATATATATATATATATATATATATATATATATATATATATATATATATATATAAAGAGAGATGATGATGACGATGAAGCGTGAGACAGCAGTAAACAATGACAGATTACTTAGAAGTTATACGATACATACTGTACATTATGATGATATTTATTTTTTGCTTCACAGAGGCCTTTCGATCTGTTTGCTACTACACCAACTGGGCCCAATACAGACCTAATGAAGGAAAATATGTACCAGAGAACATCGATCCATCTCTTTGTACTCACATCATATATGCATTTTCCAAGCCAGTGGAGCTACACGTGGAGGCTTACGAATGGAACGATGATGACACTGAATATTCCAAAGGAATGTGAGTTTTTATATTATCGGACATAAGATTTATATTTTAACATCTCTTTAGCAACAACAAAGAGGTACAAACACACTCACGCTAGCGCGCACTCACACACACGCACATATATATCTTCATACAAGATATATATATATATATATATATATATATATATATATATATATATATATATATATATATATATATATATATATATATACATATATATATCTTGTATGAAGATATATATGTGCGTGTGTGTGTATGAGTCAACCAGGAGCGAGGTATTGGGACTAACAAAGGGGGATAGGGGAGACGAGAAAACAATGTGGTTAGGTCAAACAGATAATTATCCTCTGAACTGCAAAACAGAAAGAGTAAAGCAAAGACAAGTGTTTTTCTGCAGGATCTATGACACATGACTAATATCCGAGGCAGTGAGAATATTTTTAGTGGGTTAATCAACAACAATATATAAACATAGGCAGCACCTAGTCAGACCACGTACACGAACTACAAGTCCAAATCTTAATTAAAATATGGGGAACATATAATAACTGCAACATATGTTAATTTTACTAAATTCAAAACTAGCTTGCTTCGTAGAGAACTATACACTAACAATCATCAACATGTTCACCCAGACTATTTGTTAATCACTCCGCCTAACAAAGATGCGAGTTCGCCTTCTTTTTGGAGCAACACTTTATTAAAAATTTCCCCGCAATTATGCACATTGAAAACTAGATCTAACACTATCTATCTACTAAAGGTACTGTCAAAACAATAAACTAGCCAGCCAGTTCCTCTCCCGAGTCAGTCCCCCTGAACCTTTTTTGCGGTAAGAAACCTGTACGGTCCCGCAAAGACGAGCCAGGACTGCATGTTTCTAGTCTCCCTGCCGCAGACCAAAAGCCAGTGAGGATGTTTTCTCAAGTCCCGGTTCTGTTATAATCTTCACGAACAATCGTTACTCGCTGGGCACTTCCGGAGAGTTTCGATCTGCAAACCTATCAGCAATGTAAATTATTAACAGCTTCAATCTACAAACAACTTGTTTCACCATCCTGTTATACATTCATGACTAAATGTGTTGGCGTCCCGAACTAAAAGCAATAAAAAACAATTATTGCCTACTAATCCCTCTAAGCTCCTGTACTAATCGTACATTCTACCAATTAACAGGTCATAGCTACATGAAAAAAAATACTTATGACCCAACATGCATCATTAGTTGCTTGCAATATCATGAACATACAACCAAATCAAAAGTAACTGCCATAGACCGATGAGAAAACATGCCACGATCTAAGAAAATTAGATAATGAACACATATGTTCGTTGATGGCAATAGGCATAAAAACAGCTTGTAACCATGGGGTGTCAAGTTTTAAAACACTATCAGATTAGTAGCATCATGACAAGCCCGTCATCCCCATTCCACTACCCAATAGAATAATGCACTTAAAAATGTACAAAGTTATTACTGATCTACAACAGGTAAAACTGCAAAACATCAAATACATAGGATCAACTTATTTAATCAACGAACATCAGAATTATTGACTGGATGAAGTTCCTCTTCGTCGACCAGTAATTCTTCCTAGATCCGATCTTTCAGGTCCTTGTTACCTCAGCCAACGTAATTACAAGGCACTTTTTTCAGCATTACCTCAGCTGCGTGGCTTACATTAAACGTTTTCCACAATTATCTGAGTAGTGTGGCTTACGAGAGACGTATTCCTTCATTTCCTAAGCCGCGTGGCTTACGAGAGACGAATTCCACCATTATATAAACCCCTTGGCTTACGAGAGAAAAATTCCACCATTATCTAAGCCACGTGGCTTACGAGAGACACATTCCAATTTAATATCAGCCATGTGGCTTACAAGAAACACATTTCTCGATTAAATGAGTGGCGTGGCCTATGAGAGAGATATCGGACATACCTCTGCTTCTGGAATGCCTACATTGTCAAAGGCTTCTTCCTCCATCTGTTTTTGTCTCATATCTTTCCCGGCTAGACTGAACATATAAATGACTGGTCACATCACTGCTAAAGGACATTACAGGCTAAGCTGGGCCCGGTCTGTGCAACTTATACAAGACTCCCTATTTCTAACATAAAGAGACCCAAAAATGCAACATGATACAGAGACAGAATAGCAAATAAACTCACCCCCAGCTTAGGTCCAGCCCTAGACACAAACTACTCTTTAGTAAAACAAACGCGGAGACCACTACTGAGGAAACAATGTGCACAGATCACTCGTTAGTGAACAATAGGCACAAACCACTCCTTGGTTAACATCAGAATTGTTGCGAAAAATCGAATTACGCACATCTAGTTTTTATGTGTGGAATATCTAACTAAAAACATTCCTAAAGTCTACAATATAGAAGCTCCCCATTGGGAACTGCATAGGTAACACCTAGTCAGACCACGTGCACGAACTACATGTTCTATTCTAAATAAAACAAATGGAATATAAAAATCCCTATCGCCATCTGTTTATTCTAGTGATTACACAATGTAGTCTCTTTCATGGACTGATAGTCACATGGGGGCTGTAATCATGGAAACAAACACATACGTGTAGTATCTTGACTTACACTAAGAATACATGTATTAATTAATATAACATAGAATAATAAAATATATCCCATCACTCCTCATATTCCGCATCCTCTCCAGTCTAGTCTGAAGGTCTTTTGTCTTACACGGGCGTCACATATCCTGCCTTCCCTCTTCATGCTATGTCATGATAGTTGACTTTCTAAGTCTGTTGTCCGTCTTCACTCAGACTTCGAATCATTGTTTTTACATCAACACGTGGGGCAGGTTATATGCTGAAACTCCAACCATTTTATATGTGCATGCTGTCCTGAATATTATCTTTCAGTGACAGTAAATACGGTACACCCATCATTCTTCCCCTGGGGTTATAAATCTCCTGTTTAGGTGAACACATTAAGTGAGCACATGGTGGGCATACAAAACGTAGAAGCATCCCTGCACATATTTGGGCATCATTTCCCCCAGTCCAAACTCATATTTTGGTTGATGGTGGAAACAATATAATTACATATCATTATAGCAAATGTCATTATTCACATCTTATTTTATACACATGAAAACATACACTGAAAAACATGTGACACAAACATACAAGAAATAGGAATAGTTTAGCAGTTCCCTAACTGAGATACTGAATACTCACAAAGAACTATTTCAAGCAGAATGTGCAGACAAATTAGGAAAAGGTAGTATAGACTAAGCTTAACTCCCTAACTTATGTATACAAGATTAATATTAATATTCACCTGGGAACTTTCCATCAATCGCCAAACCAGAATGCGACCGTAAAATTTACCTTTTAGGTCGACCTGTGTTTGTTTGCCGGCAGGCTGCGATTAATGACGGGAATTCCACAGGCTCGAAGTATAAGTATCAATCTATTGTCCAAATTAAACTCCTCCCTTTCCTCGGTTCTATCCAACCCTCAAGATGATGACTTAAGCCACGCCTCTGAAGTACCTATCAGATCAAATTAGCTAACAAGTGGCCTGTCAGTTAATTCTGGACTGACATCCCTAGAGCAAACAGTCTTAAGTGACCCAATCTAGTTTACAACGAATCTAACTGGCCGGTGTGAAAACGGTCCGTGAAGCCATTGTGTTTCCTACTTGACCCAGATCAAACATTCCTAATTGCCAAACACCTGTTCTGCCAAGAATTACACTGACGTGTTACTTAAACCTCTCGTCGCCACAATGTCTAGCGTCCACTCAATTTACCTGTTCAAAAGGGCCCCACTCAGTCTCTACAGTCTGGTCAGGAAATAACATTCTGACACTGGCGTGAGAATCAAACCTAACATGCCTAGTCTGAACCAGCGGGCTGTATTACACAGTGTTATGTAATTTTAAACAAAGCGCAGTGGCTTTGTCTCGGAGAAGGACTGGTAACAATTTAAATCAATTTGATTTAAAGTAATATTAGGGTAAAGGGCAGAGTAAATATAATCCTCTCTCTTTAGAACCAGAAGAACTTATTACAAGTACTAACTTCTGGAACCACTGAGATCGTATCGTGACACCTACTATCAGAAATCTCCGCCCGGGGATACACACGGACAACTAGATTAAGATAATCCATTCGTCGGGCATATATATGCATGCTCATATGTGTATATGACACATTTATACACATATACTGTAATCTAGCTTTTTTCGTACTTTGTAAAGTAGTAAGTAAATGACCCTTTCCCACGCTTTTAGGGTTATAAGGCATATAGGGCTAGACCTATACTTTTTAGAACCAATCGGCACAAGATGCGTGATGTGGACAGCATCACGCCGGCCACCTTTATTTCCAGGGACTGCACCCGGTACCCACTCAAGGCTGGGTGGACCTGGGAGCCAAAGTCATTTTTGAAAAAGTCCGGCTCCACCAGGGAGCGACCCCACGACCTTACCATCCGCGGCGAGCGTCTAGCCGCTCTGCCACAGCGACTTCCTTTCATATTTTGAAGTTGCATTAAAATGTGTCGACGTCTGGTCAAAAACGTAGACCAATCATATCAGCAGAGTTGGAACAAATAAGACAAATTAGAACGGGATACATCACTAGAGGACAAACTGTTTTGATTTGTGTATTCTAATGCACCATTTGTCTTTTCTAGGTAATCTTCTTTAACTCCTTTTTCTTACATTACCGTTTCTGTGTTTTCATATCTCTATTTATAGAGATTTATATTTTTTACCGTGTCCTGTAAATGTATTTCCTTATTTGTTTGGGTAATGACTTGTTTAGTTTCCAAAAATAGTTTTCCAGAGGTTTGCTTTTCTGTTTATATGTGGTGCATGTTACAGGAAGCAGCCTAGTCTCTTTTCCTGACAGCAATTGAGGCATGCGGGCGCTATGCATTTGGCATTCCTGGATCCAAGTCCTAATCTCCATAGTTTGTTATTTGGTAAAATTTTAAGGTTTTCTGAAACTTGTGATGTCAGGACG